TAAAAGTAGAAATAAAAACGCAAAATTACATTAAGTTCATTCAACAAAAATAATTAAATTGTAAGTTGAACTTACTATACGGTTGCATTTTAGAATTTTCTTAATATTTCCCAGCGCAACAGACATCTATTCATAAATAGTCATCTCTTTCATAGAACCACCAAAGTTGTCTTATTTATATTTCACATTCATGATTAATGCATTCAATTTCCACGACCACTCTTAATAACTCAATTTTGGGAAGATAAATTTTTAACCCGACATGTGTTTTGTGCGTAGTAAAAAAGTGTGTTAAATTTTTTATTTCAAAAAAAAATTTTTTTCGACAGAAATATTATATATTTATCTGAAACACACTTTGTAAACTGCAACACTGGAAGAGCGGGAACTGAGCGTAAGATAGTTCCTTAGAACTGTGTGTGTGTAAATGTATGTATTTCTGCGTGTGATGTGCACTAAGAAGCTTTCTTTCAAAACATATAAAAATCCCAGCTTTCCCTAGAGAAGTCCCCCACTTGTGGATAAGCAATTTCTTAACATTAATCAGTTTCACTGACGGTCGATCCCTTCCAAGAAATGACTGTCGACATCATCATGTGGTTATACATATAGAGATGTCGACAAATCGCTGATATCATGCTTTAATATACCAGCCGATGTCTTTAATTTATTGCTTTCAGCTTGTTATTTCTTTTCCCAGCAAGACCCATTAAATTTAAGCACATGCTGGTCACCAAAACAACAGCAATATATAAATATATATAAAACATAAAATTAATAACTCTTACTTTAGGCTTTAGCAAATATAAACTTCAACTGAGTCACGCAGTATGTAACTCAATGCAAATACGTCAAAAAATCCATAAACATTTTTGAGTCTCTGAAGAGACTGACCTGCTAATTGTTAAAATTGGTTTATACCTATTTATATATTTCTATGAGTGGTTAAACAATGAAAATATCGATGTGTTGACGTACGCGAAAATGCATCTAAATTATCTTTGATGTTATATTAAAATCAGCTCCAACAAAATAAATAAATACGCGGGACAGTAATTGAAAGAGGAATGCGTACGAAAGTGTAATCAAATAGAATTGTAAAAATGAAAATTAAAAGAAAATTGTAATTAAAAGGAGCGTACTTGTTTTGATATTAAAAAATAAAATTAGATATACATATTTAACTTGGACTTTGTAATGGAAATATAATATATAGACTCTTGGCATTCCACTTAAAATAAGTAAGCAATAATATTTATTTGATATTTACGGTACTTTATATAGCTTTCATAAATATTACGTTCGAATGGTTTAAGATTACAAGTTTTCAAAGGATTCACAAATTTCAACACTAATCTTCAACACTGGGATGCGAAACACACCGTTAAGCGTAAAATCTTCGTTTATGCATTTATTGTGTTCTTATTTCTTAATGTTTGCGCTAAAAGCTTTTGAAACTAAAATTTGTCAGAAACAGCAAAATTGCATTCACTTCTTAGTGTTTGAACTGAATAACTCCCCTCTTTTCGCTCGAACGAAATGCTGAAATATTTTTAAGAGCCTAGATATTTAATTGAGATTTCCTTTCAAAAATTATACAAAATTAATTTGAAATGCCAAGGTTGAGTAAGGCGATCCGAGAAATAAGAAATTTGGATTTGTAATTATTTATTTTTTGTTGATTGTACTGCATTATTCTTCAATTATACATTAATTCATAATATCAGAATAGCTTTTAATTTGCCATAGTGAGAATGTTCTGATGAGTTCATTGCACCTACTGCGTGTGTTATTGCCTCAAACTTTTTCTTTTTTTTTTGTTGCTCGAGTTTATATATATTTCGATTTTGATTTTAAAACCGTTTAGTATACACATGCCCACGCAATGTACATTAACTCACTTTAAACTTGTTGGAGTTTCCGCTCCACTCGATTTTTAGTGTTTGTGTGTGTGCGTTAGTTTCCGCCCATGGCAACACCATCATAAGTTACGCGTATTACTCCAATTCGCTGCCCTTTTCCTTTGACTCGTCCTCCATGCCGAACCTGCAACAGCTACTGCTGAGCGAGGCATTCAAGCTGAATACGTCATTGACACTAAACATCTCGGCGGATAACCTAACAAATCTGGTAATCTGAGCAGTAGCGCGCAGCTCAATCAGACCTAAGGGTTGCCACAGCATCTGTTTTCCATGTCTGCCTTGATTACGCTCACCATGTTTATGCCATCATCTTCGTGTCTAGTGTACTAAGTAATCTCATGAAATGCATTGTTATCTCGAGTGATGAATTTATGCATATCGCAACAAATTTCTATCACTTTACACTAGCTGTGTCGGATTTATGGTTGCTACTGTCAGGTGAGTCGCATTTGTTACACATTAAAAGTAACATGACAGATTTCAATAATATGAAAACTAAGTAAATAATTTGGAAACAAAGTAATGGTTCCCCATTCAAGCCCGATGATTATCAATGTTAAAGTTATAAAAGTATATTGCTGACATCGCAAAAGCCAATACCTCGAACTGACAACTGGTATTAATACAAGGGACTAGCATAACATAGAAGAGACGGGAAACACGTGATTTTACCGCTTAAAAATGGCATCCGTATACTCTTTTATAAAAAATTCAGTAGAATTATATTGTTATTGCATTTGTATATAAATTATTTCAAAAGAGAGCAGAGCTCAAACATAGCGCTCAAGGAAGTGGAGAATGGCAGGCGAAAGAAAATACCTTTCAATTAAAAAATTTTTGCACAAATATTACGATTCCTTTCTAAACGCTTAAGAAATTTCATACACTTGATCATTAATCAAAGTAATTTTTCGTGACTTGTGTAAACGAATGACCACCCTGTGGCAAATCAATGACCATCGAGCAGTCAGCATTCAGCAGTCATCAAAGATCGACATCCTGATAAAAACGTTACTTTAACTAGCACCACTTATTTTTGTTCTCTTTATATATATCAATAAAGATATCGCAATCAATAAAGTTAAAAACATTCGCCTTTTAACTTTCACTTGTAAATAATAGTGGTAGAATTCCATGGCACATAAATACCAGCATTCAGTATAAAAAATAGGACATAAACATATAAATATCCCTTAGCAAATACGTTTGTATAAATGTAAAATCAGATGTTAGTCCCTGGAAGTAAATTTATGCATCTGTCACTCATTCAATCAAATTGACACATTTTCCTTCACAAAGATTCGCATAAGTCTACATGTATGTGTTTATATATTTGTAATGATTTATATGCTTATGTAGACAACCATATGCGTTACTATAATAAAAAGATAACGCAAGCATGGCAGAAGCTATAAAACTATTTGCAAATAATATTAGAGCAACCTAAACTTAAATAAAGTACATTATGCAAAGCTGTGCATAAATACTGATGGCCGCAGATTTTGTTGCTTGTCATTGAAGTAAATAGTCGCACGTCCTTGAAAATGTGAAAAAATAAAAAATATACAAAAATGTATGCATATTTACGATGGAAAGTATTTACTGCACACATAGCAAAATGGGGTCACTGTTGTTTATGACTCGTTCACAAGTTTGGGTGGCTTGCATGGAAAGTTCTAGTACGCAATACATATATTCCAACATATATGAACAAATTTGATGAATTTATGTAGGCCTTAGCAAGAACACTTCAATATAATAGTAGTCTTTAGTGTGGTAGAGACGACTTCAAGTTAAACCACTTAGAAATTTTAGAATGGTGTTGTTGTGGCATGACCCAATGATAAGTGATGATATCATGAGTGAGTGTGCATTGGTGATATTATTTTATGAAGATTCAGCGTTATTTTGAGCAAAATTTTACCACTCAGTGGGCACATTCGGTGGGCGGTTTTCTATTCGATAAAAAGCACTTTAATCAAAGCTACACGTCACATAGCGATATGTCATCCATTTCGATTGATGGCAATTGTTGATGTTCATTTATCGTTGACACTTATAATTTACCGTTAATGTATTTTTTTCAATTAAAGCACTTGGTGTTATCTTAATTAAGTAATTTCGTTTGATATGTAAAAGTAACAGCAAAAGTCGGAAGAAAAGTGATAAGTGGTGTAGCTGTTACTACATGTCGCGCTTTTACTGTTGAAGACATTGTATATTTGGGATTTGTATTCTACTTTTCTTTTTCTTTTTAATTTTCAGTTTCAACTGACAACTGTGTATTCGACATCGTGATTGGTATAAAATTAAATCGTAATCGCTTGCTGCGGGCAGTGCCGAGGCGCAGTCTGAATGTGCATAGTGGGATCAGCGCTTAAAGTCGTGTGATCAGAATGTTGGGTGAGAGTGATATTGTTGCTGAATAGAGGAGAAAGTAATTTCATGTTTATTGCTTGCATGGCATAGTATAACAAAGAATAACGCATCGAATTTCACCACTGATGATGTGATCACTGCTTAGCACAGCGGCAGCAAGCACATAACCTATTTGAAGAGCTTCCAGACACTTATGTCATCAACAAATTTTGTTTCGGCAGCAGAAAGTTCAGCCGACGGCAGGATGTGCTTGATTATTTTTGTTCGTGTTGCCTAACCACGCGATGGATGATTGATGTATGTAACGGTTCGGTGGCTACAATCACTTATCAAAAGTAATTTTGTGCGTTATCGACGATTCGCGACACCAACCCACTTTATACATGACTCTTTCGTTTCGGGCTTTGTTTACCATAGAGAGAACTAAGTTTGTGGTACTAGAAAATCTCGTATGTACAAAATTATGCTTTACAATTTGTGTAAAAGTGTTAGCTATTCGAGCTAATGCTTCTTTTACACCGACATGCCACCTTGGCTTTGAAAAAAATTAATTTTAAACAAATACATTTATTTTGCGTTTTTCCGTAGGTTTTCTATTTCTTTGGTTTCTTTTATTTTGTGTTTTTTTTCCCTTCCTTCATTTCTCTTCTCACATAACGCGTTCTTTACAAATTTTTTCATCATTTCCGCGTACAACAGTTGCCGTTGCACGCGCAACGCTTGATGGCTGTGTATGGCAGCAGCGCGAACATTGAATCGCAACTGTTCAAAGATGTTTTCGAAGCTGACGACCTCACATCCGGTGTACTGCATTCCCAATCGACTTGCATCAATCAGTTGTTGAACAACATCGTGAGTAACAAATTCCGTGATGCTTTCAAAGTGAGCTAAGTTAAATGAAGTATACTCGGATGAGTGAAAGGCACGAGCGAAAGGAAATGTTAAATATGCCAAATATACCATAATGCCTCTCAAAAGCAGGCGTGCGAGTAAGGTAAGTTGAAACATTAAAGTTGCCGCTTAGCCCCATTTGTATATTAGTTTCTCTTTTTATCTTTCATCACGAATCAATCTCAAGTGATGTTATTCGTTGCAGTGGCTTATTTCCTACATTAATATCAACGCATCTCCTCTCTTCTGTTTTCATCCCATCAATCCCATTAGAGCTCCTGTTTCTAAAATATTGCCTTATTTATCTGATCTAGCCTAATAATGGAATGTTCTTCTCCTGTAACTTTCTGAATTAAAAAAGGTGTTCAACTCTCCTTCACCGGTTACTATAGCTCGTCAATTTGGAATGCTCGCCCGCTCTCAGAGTCAAAGCCCGAACTACAGCACCCTGCTGCATATGTGCATAGACATTAGTCGTCGACGACACATTTTTGGGCAAATCGATGCCGCGAGCTGAACTAATGCGCAGCGCCACTAATAGGCCTAATGTGCCTGGCTTATCAAGCACGTGGTTAACGCGTGTTCGTATTATGCAGCCCCTTAGGACTATCTTTTCATATGTTCGCACGCACAAGTACTCAACGCTTAAAGCTCAAAAACTTAAAGATATTTAAACTGACAAGAAAAAGTTCCTTAGAAATATGCGCTTAATTTTTCTAAGCCAAGAAGTAAGTGTTTTTTACAAAATCAGAATAAAGTTTTATTAGAGAATTTTAACCGTAGTTTTGAATAAAACAAAGGGCTGTATCCATTTCGTTTGTAAATTAAGTGAAGACCAAACAAGTGAGCGAGTTTTTGATGGAAAACGGACTTCTCTTATCAACCACACATCGTGTTTGCTTGATCTGTCACCATGTGACTATTTTCTATTTCCAAAACTGAAAACCAACATGAAAGTAATATTTTACGATGATGCCCCAGCCATTTAAGCACACATAACCGAGTTGCTGAAGAACATTGCTACAAATTACATAAAAATATCTATGTATTCGCTCGTTGATCATTCCAAAGGTTGTATTTAGTCTAATAAAACATATTTTGAATAAATAACAATTTTGAAAGATTGTATGACAATCTTTATCCAAAAACTATTGCCAAAAAAGTAATTGTCTGACAACATATAAATATTTGGGACTTCAGTCGGGATTCATTGTTTCTTTTCAAAATATTTGAGGTTAGAACTATTTGTGGGCTTTCGATATTACTATAATGAGATCCCGAAAATTTAAAGATTATAAAATGCGAAACGTGTTACAGATCCAACGCACACGATACCAAAAGGGAAGCTCATTTTTTTATCTAATAACTCTGACCGTATGTTGCATGGTTGCTTTGAAACATGTTCAAATAGGCGTTGATATCTTGCGCAACACCAGTGAATTAAAGCACCGCTATCACATTTCTCACCAACGGCAGTCGAGAATGACAGTACAAGAGCGAATAACCAATAATATATGATACAGTTACTTGCTTGTTTTATTTAATATTAAATATGTATGAATGCACCAAATGTCCTACGCATATAAACAAAACTCAATGTCACTGTAATATTTCAAAAACATTAAGAGGACATTATATAAATAAAATAAATATTTCTGAAATAAATACGAGTCCATATACGTTTATAACTTTAGTACTTACGCCGCTCAGTTTATAGCTTTCTATCAATAATACGAAATGTGGGGTATTACAATAAAATAAACGTTCGTAGAACTTGCAAATAAGAGTTCGATGGCCTTCTCACTCCTCGGTTACACTCAGCCTGTAAGTTGACTTCTACATTCAATTGTCATTGTTATTTCTGAAGGGTAATGTGTTTCCACGAACTCCACGAAAGTTGCGATTGAACAACACTAATGTGAATATTATTTGATTTTCATTAAATTATTAATAATTCAAAGAATAATGATGGTGTAAATCTTACTAGATTCATTTGCTTTAATGTGCGTACATATTTCAAGTTTGTGCATTAAAGCATATTGAAATATCATCTACATCAAAAATACAAATTCAAATACTTCAAACTTGTGTATTTTTTGTTTTTTAGAATTTTACTCCATTAGTATTTCAGTTTCTGTTTGTTTTCTTATTTTCAATTATTCTTCAATCTTTTCAATTCTGCTGTGGATAGTTTAGTTTTGATTTGAGTCACGTGAACTTAAGCAATCAGATATCTTGAACAGAAGGCAGCTTCTATCGAAATGATATATAGCAAATAAAAAAAGTTCCACTACAGAAAATAAGGTGAATGAGTTAAGCCCACATTTGGTAATCATATTTTTATACAATTTAAGTGACGTGCAGAATCTATCATAAGACATAATAACATGAATAATTCCGGGAAAGGCCGAAAAGAATTCCCAGCTGTAGCCCTTTCATGTGAACTAGGGCGACAATGAGGAAGAAGAAGAAGAAGTTTGAAATTTGTTCATAGAAACGTTGAGAGAAGATTGAAGCCAATTGAAGAACCAATTCATATGTATGTGTGTGTATGATGGTAGCAAATGCGTTGAGTACTTTTTGAGATTGTGCGTTTTGCTGAAGGCGGTATGGTGTTGTCTCGCTACCCAAAACAGTGTTTGTGTTGTCTTCCGCTTTTATGTTAATGCTGTGGTTATGACAACTTGTAGACATTAAAAATATGTCGTAAGTATGCTATTCACTGGCTGTTGAAAAGGAAATTGTGTATGGATATGGACAAGCAATGTGGAGGAATTTTTATTATTTTAATGCATTACTGCATTGGTTATAAATTCTTACCTAAAACCTGTCCTATGCTATTTTGTTTACAACCTAATAATTGAAAATTTTGTACATCTACACCATGGGCAGTAAAAAGCCTGTTAATATTTCGATTATGGCATCAAGAAACCTAAAATGTGATATAATAACGCTTACGTACTAATAGAATGTTTATGCATGCTATTGAATTACCATAATTGCTGAAAAGTGGCAACGAATAAATTTAAATGTGGCTATTTCATCCCAGATTGTTATTAATTTAAGGATTTAGATCAAGCAAATTTGACTTGTGCACTTTTCGAATCTCTGCGAAAACCTTTTTAGCTTAATATCTATATCCCATAAAAAATCTATAATAATTTTCTGTGCGTGGAAACTTTTCATCACAAGAAGACATTTTTATTCAAACAGACATGTAAAGACTTAAATATGTATATATATATATATACATACATTTTTTGTAAATTAATATATCCTATATTTTACGTTAGATCAATTTGACTAAATTTTACTAAAATCGGTTTAATAGTTTATGAGTTCAGTGTTTGTATCACCTAAAACTAAACGAGATAAAAATAGGGTTATGTATATATTGAGAGCCAGGTGAGTAAACATTGAAATATCGTAATGAAACTTGGTACACGTGTTCTCTGGCAAAAAAGGGTGGACAAGTTTGTAGATCAGTATAATCGGACTACTGCTACGCCCACAAAACCCCATTAAACGCAAACCTATAAAGTGTCATAACTAAACACTAATAAAGATATAAATATATAATTCAACTTAGGGATGGCAGTAGCAAGGGACACTTGTGGGGTAAAAATTTAAAAAAAAATGGGTGTGGCCCCGCCCTCTAATATCCTAAGCCTATCCACTCAAACCATTACAAGTATAACCAAATTCTCTCAGAACAAATACCTTAAGCATTGCTACCGCTGTAAAAATTTATGAAATCAGATAAAAAAAATCCGCTCACTCCTACTATAATGGTTCTGCTAAAATCTACTGTAAGCGCGATAAATCAATAAATAAATGCGTCAGAAACATACAATTTCACACACGGTTATAGGAAAGGGGTATATAGAGGGGTCAAAATAAAACGATGGGCGAGGCACCGCTTACATTTGGGTGAAAACCCATATCTCGGGACCTACTCCACCGTTTTCAACATAATGCGGTAGGTCGCGTTTATTCTGACATTCCTAAAGCGAACTGGCGAAATCGGACTGCAACCACGCCTACTTCTCATATAATACAATTTTAAATTGCACGAATACTACTTTTAAGGTTTGACAGCTTATGATCAAAAATTATCCAAATCCAAACAAAATTGTTTAAGTTCTCACGTACCGAATATAAGGACCCCAGTTGCTATAACGAACTTTTTATCGAAAATATCGGTCAATCTGTGAGGTATATTATAGAAACTCAGAGAGAATACTTATCTGATAATAATTTGCCCGTGACCCTAATATGCATTGAATCAGAACAATAATTCCCCTAGTACCCATATACCTAACAGAAAAATTTTCGAACTTCCAGCTGACTTTATACCACAACTATCGATCAATATGTGAGATATCTTAATGAAATTGAAAGAGCGTGCTTTCCTAATATATCTTTGTGCATAAAATGAATAAGATCGGGCGAAAACTTGCACTAGCCGCCATGTTGACTTTACACTTACCTTAATGAAACTCAGAAAGTATCTGTTTCTGTTAATAATATGTAGTCAAAAATAGCTAACTTGGGTCAATACTACACCTATCTCCTATAAACCTAATAAGATTTTCAAACTTCGGTTTGGCCTTATGCCATATATGTCATTCAATATGTAAGATATCTTAGCAAAATTATAATATAATAAAATAATTTCCCTTGTTCTAACAAACATTATTTAACGTTGTTCACTTATATTATTCTTAAATTACGTTTTAGCATATTAAGTATTGTATCGTTTGAATGTTTATGTTATTAAATCATGCAAAAGAAATTTACTACAAATCGTAGACAGCTTTATTGGTGATAACAAATAAATAAAAACACAGATGTAAAAAAGTAGGGAATTTTTCACCTAACAAAATAAAAACTTAAGTAAATATGCGGAGTCCTAAAAACCGAAATAAGTAAAAATCACGAAAATACACACGTCAATCGACGAACTATGCAAAGTCACACATTACTAAATAAATAACTGC